CTTCTAGCTCTTTAAATATGCAGTGTGCATTATTGTCTACAGTAACCCTCTTATCTAGCTATAAGCTAGGAGAGACTTTGAATTACCCTGCTTTCAAGCACTCAGTCACCAGCTTCTGTGTTCGGTCATCCCGCCAGTGATGGGTTGAATGAAAGCATGTTACCAGGTTTCTGTCAGTGAGCAGAAGCTATGTTACGATGTAGTAACAAAGATCTCCGTATCTCGGTGGCCTAAAACAAAATGCTGCTTCAGTAGGAAGCTGTATCAAGGCCACATTCTTGCTCGTAGTGTATGTCCATCGTGGTCAGCTGGGTCCTCCGCTGCATGTATCTATTTGCAGGCCCAGGATGACAGATCAGCCACCATCTCAAACTGACATAGTTACAATGTCAGACGGAAGAGAGCTCTGAGGATGAGACTGATGTGTAAACGTCCTGGCCTGGAAGGGACGTCAGCCGCTTCTGCTCACAACTCCTCGGCCAGATCTAGTTACATGACCCTAACCAACCCCTGAGAGATACTCTGTGGTTTCCGGACCCCCGTGCAGGAAAGGGAAGAGATGCTGCCCCAGGAAGGGTGGTGCTTCTGTCCAGAAATCCTCAGCTGCTATTTCCTGTAATTACCCCAAATAGTGAGAAAATCTAAGGAAGCAGATACTTTAGCAGGGCACATTGCAGCCCCAAACAAAACTGGATTCTGGTGATAAGAAAGGTGATGGATGCTAGAGGGTCACCTAGAAGTGACTGAGGCGATCACGGGTGTTGATGATGAAGAACAAGTTGCTCTGGCAGTGGGAAGACAAACACGGAGGCACGTTTAGACCTCAGCAGCAAGAGCACGCAGAGCCTGCGTATGAACTTGACTTCCCCGAGTCCATCACTTCAGCACTGGCTAAATGATCTCTTAATCATCAGTAATTAAAGCTGTCAGAGCAATATATGTGTTAGTATTAATCCTAAATAACGTAGCAGTCAACATTTCTATCAATAACAGACTGCGAGTAAATACCTTCGAGTACTTTATAAGTCATATTTAGTATTGAAGGCCTACTGTGTGCTGTGTTCTTTTTATACACACACACACAATCTCTAGTTTTCTGTGAAAACTCTGCGAAGTAGTCATGTTTATCCCCATTTTATGGATAAACACACTGAGGCTCAGACTGTCTAGTGAATTGCTTTAGGTCACACAGCTGTTCCAAACTCAAATCAGATTTTAAACTTCTCATAATCATCTTTGTTTTACATCGGGTTGCCTCTTGACCAAATACCCAGTATTAACAATTTGAAATGACAGTGTGTTAGACACACTGTAGTCTAAAATCTCATCCAAGTCATGGCCTTGGTGGGAGAGGAGGGAGTAGTGTTGATTGGGACTGAAGACTTCTGCTTATTAAAGCCCTCTTTTTCTCACTGTGTATTTGGATCCACTATGTCATTAGTGATACTGAAAAACATTGAAAAGAACAAAAAAGAAGCAAAGATCAGATGGTACAGATGTAGACAATACGCCAGAGACAGACAATCTCAAACAACTTGACGCTGGTAATTAAGAAGTGAACTTCTGTCCAGCCTAGAAACTGGGGAGGCTCCTTGGATGAACCCACAGAGGCAAAAAGAACAGTTACTCCACGAAGACAGGCTCAGTCAGTAACTTCTGCCCAACCAGATGTGATGTCTAAATCCACAGCCGAGGTGAATGTGAGGGCTTTTAAACCCTCCTGCCTAAGGACCAGGATCCTAGATGAGAAACTTATAGTTACCAAGAGAACCCACAGACAGACCCAGCTCGCTTCTATGCCCCCTGTTCCAGCCTCTCAGTCAGTACAGATAGATCACTCAGCTATACGTGACCGTGCTGAATATTGACTGTATTCTGACCTTCGGTCGAGGGCAGTACCCAAAATCTTAAAGATTTTCCAGCTTCCTCTTTATGTCCCCTTCATTCATCTATCATATACGTACGGAGAGTTTGTAAGTACCAGGCAGTATGCTCAGTGCTATTGATGCTCTGATATCAACTTTTGTGAAATGTGGGGGTCACTGGGAAGATAGAGGATAATCAAATGACAAACATAAATTCATGGCGGTAATGTTATACATTTGATAAGGACCTGAAATTATGCTAATGGAATGTCAGGACTACACTTAATCTTCTCCATTATACTAGGAAAGTGTGGTTCTCAGGGATGATACAACGTTCTCAAAGATATGTCCCCTACAGAGGATGGAGTTAGGATCCGATCCAGGACCATCTGATGTAAAAAGCCCAGGAATCTGTCTACTTTCTCACATTTCCCTTGGCAAACCACAGATCTCTTCCTCATCTTGTGCAATATCTGGATTTGGGTTTCCTGAGATTTCACCTTTTCACAAACTCTTTGACATAAATTTTTCTAACATCTAGTACTTGTAATTTCACCAGGCTCAAGAAGCCTATTACAGATAAGCTTTAGCACTGAGAATCAAAAATGATTCTTTTCCAGAAAACTAGATTACTATCTAGGGCAAAATTAAATCTTTCCACATTTCCGACTGTTCTGGATTAATACGGCAACAGTGCCCTCTCATGGCCATTTATTGTATTACATGTCTCTTTGCTGCGGAGGAGCACATTTTGGTCGTAGTGAAGACCTCTTGCAAGGCCAGGATTTATAATGAATCTCCCTTTATTCCCTTGATCGCCTTTATTCCTCATTTTCCAACCACCTACAGCTCACACCATGTCTATCTATTCCAGAGGCAAAGTCATGGGTATAGCGTGTAGCATGTTTCAGAGACTGAGCATCGGGATGCCAGGGCCCCATGACAGAAAGTGAGCTTGCCAATGTAAACCACCTACTGATAACCTCCAGGATTTGGATTACCCACTAGGCTTGGCAGATTAATGTATCATCTCTTGCTATACCACACTTCTTTTCTGAAGACTGTGCCCACCCATATACTCTCTCCACTACCCTACAACTACAGGAAATGGACTGCATCTTATACATTCATTTGAAGTAGGTAATATGTGCCCATGGTGATGAACAAGTTACCGTTCCTGCTCTAAACTTTATGCTCTGCTTGGGAAGCAGGTAGCCATTAGTCTATAAAACTTCCAGTTACATAATTTCTACAACAATGAGGATCTAGAAGTCGTGCATGAGATAAGACTAGGTTTGGGAACTAGAAAAGTTTATCCTGATGCTAGAGAAGGTATGGTATTCCAAAAACAGAGACGAGATTGGTCAAGAAGGATCAGGGAGTTTGGGGGAAACCTGAACGGCACTTCTTCTGGCGTTGAAGTGACTGATCAGTGTGAGGTCAGCTACTAGGAATAGATGTTAGGCAATCCCAAGGATGGTAAACTATTAACAGAGAATGTCATTAATTTAACTGTTGAGAATAAGCTGATGTTAAAGGCCTACAATCTGACACCTGGTATTTATTTGAGGAGCTAGTTTAAACTCTTTGGAGGGAAATGTTGAAGTGGAGATCATTCTGAATCTTTGCCTATTCTGAATCTTCCCAGGAGAAGAGAATACTGCAAAATTTAATTTTTTTTTTTTTTTGTCTTTTTCATTTTTATCGGTACCAGGGATCGAACTCACAACTGCCTGCTTGCAAGGCAGGCGCTTATGCCGCTGAGCTAAATCCCCAGCCCCAAAATTTAATATTTACATCTGCTCCATTGCTCATGCAAGATGAGAGGGTAACTACAGCAATCATAATTGCCAGCGTTGGCAGCAATAGAGCTTAGAGGCCCAAAGAGAAGAGAGTGGTGGCACCTGTGGGATTCCAATGGTGAACTGTGGCTATAAAAAATAGGAATGGGGGGCTGGGGATTTAGCTCAGCGGCATAAGCGCCTGCATTGCAGGCAGGCAGTCGTGAGTTCGATCCCTGGTACCAATAAAAATGAAAAAGACAAAAAAAAAAAAAAAAAGTAATTCATGGGCTGGGGATTTAGCTCAGCGGCATAAGCGCCTGCCTTGCAAGCAGGCAGTCATGAGTTCGATCCCTGGATAAAAATGAAAAAGACCAAAAAAAAAAAAAAATAGGATATGAAGTTTTATGTATCATATAATGCCAAGAAGTTCATATAATGTAGCATACCTTAAGTTAAACATGCTAGATTTGAATTCAGGAAATCTGGGTTCAAATCCTATCCCTCTATTAGGTTTTTTTTTTTTTTTTCTTCTTCTTCTTCTTCTTCTTCTTCTTCTTCTTCTTCTTCTTCTTCTTCTTCTTCTTCTTCTTCTTCTTCAATTCACATCGAAATCATGAACTGGCAAAGTACAGCTCAGTTAGCAGTCATCGCATCACCAGATGACTCTGAGTAATACCTTCCACCTGAGTGCATCATATGGACAATATAACAAGTTCTCTTGAGTCTCCATTTTGGCATCTGAAAAAAAAATAGTACCTGCTTTCAGATAGTTGTGAAGCAGTATGTTTAAAGTGTATAACATCAGATATTCAAGATCAGTTTATTATTAGTAATATTGACAGTATTTAATATTTGGAGAAAAATCTATACATGCAAGAAATACTTAAGGATAACTTATTTTCCTCACACTCCAGTTATTTTCCAATTTTCTAAAAATTTGTATAAAAATTAGAAGGAGAGGGACAGTAGTTTTGGATAGAAATATGATTAGCCCACTGTTTGCTAAATTTCCCAGGCTGGGGAGTCCATCTCAAAAGCACTGATCTCCAGGCCAAAAATATTGAGCCATTATCTTTAAAGGATAAGCCTGGTACTCTGACCGGCTTGGCAGATGAGTTTTATAATTAGGCTCTTTTGGGACGCGCAGGTTTGAGGACTGGAAACGCCAATTGTAGCTATTACAAGGACGAGAGCCTACAATTCCCATGCTGCCGCACGAACTCGCACGGAGCAAGCTCGAAGCTTGCCGGGAGTTGTAGTTTCCGTGAGACAGACCTTTGCCTATAAGAACGCCGGAGATGGCTGCCGAAAACCAACCCTCCCACAATGCAAAGGTCGCCTGTGACGTCATCAGGCGCAGGCCGGGAACCAAGCAGGCGGTTTCTGCCTCCAGTACCACCACCTCCACCGCCTCCGCCGCCTCCGCCGCCGCCGCCCCCGCCGCCGCCGCCCCCGCCCCCGCTCCCCCTATCCCCTCTCCCACCCCCACCGCTTCCGCGGACTCGGCGGCCTAGGCCACCGCCACTGCCGCCCCCACAACCATCTCCACCGCTGCTTCCTTGGGGGCCCCCGCTGCCTTTGCATCATCGAGACTCTAAGCCTCGAAGAAAAAGCGGTACAGAGTCCATCTCGCGGGCCCGGGGCACAGGCATGGCGGATGGCGGCAGCGGCGGAGCAACGGGTGCGGTGGGCGGCGGAGGAGCGGGCCAGGCCTCGGCAGGGACAGCCACCGGCGGGACGGGCTCGAGCGGCGGCGGCGGCCCCATCAACCCGGCCTCGCTTCCTCCCGGCGACCCTCAGCTCATCGCTCTCATCGTGGAGCAGCTCAAGAGCCGGGGCCTGTTTGACAGCTTCCGCCGGGACTGCCTGGCCGACGTGGACACCAAGGTACCTGAGGCCGTCCAGCGGTGGGGAGCCGTGCTGGGCCCGGAGCCGGCCAGATGGCTGCTTTGATTGCTGAGAGTAAAACAAAAGACTGGAAGAGCACAGGCAGTGACACATTAAGCCGCCTGGGGCAGTACAGTACGGAGAGGTTTCTGCGAGATGGGCATGTGGTGCTCTGCCCTTCTAGGGCTAGCTGTGGTTTTAAACCACCAGTTTCTCAATTTGAGGGCTTAATACGGATTTTAGAGCCTACACGCAGTCTTTTCTAAAGTGGAACTTCCTTGAGCCTCTCAAAAAACATTTTTTATGTTAAGAACAATGGAGGAAAAGAATCTTGATGGCGCACACCTGTGGTCTCAGCACGAGGGAGCCTGAAACTGGAGGATCAGTGAGAGTTCGGGGCCAGCCTGAACTACATAGGGAGACCCTGTCTCAAAAAATAAAAACAGTGGAGCAAGACAGATAGGCACACAAAAATGCTTTAGAATTGTCACTCATTCTTTGTTCATCCCAAAGGACCTGACATTAAATACAGTGTTTTGGATGCAGTCATCAGCATATTACATAATGGTTACTTGGCCTTTTTTTCCACCTTGTGATTTGCAACTTGGATGAGGTTAAGTTGTAGAACCAACACCCTTATTTTGTATCTCTTGACTAATTAAGAGAATTGATGCTTTTTAAAATCTTAATACTGAAGGCCACTCACACACAACACACACTAAGTGAAATGCTGTCTTATTTGCCTGCCAGAATTGTTTGGATTTAATAAAAATGTGTGTGTGTTTAGCGTCAGACATAATACAGTAGTAGTTACTGGAACATTCACTTTCTCCCTTTTCAAGGTTGTAAGGTTCCAAGTCTCTGTGACTGACTGGGCTCCTCCAAGGTTGTAATTTCTCTTCGCTGACCCTGCAGTGAAAAGCTTTCGCCTGCCTGATAGCAAGATTGTGAGCTTAAAATTAGACTGTCCAGATAAGGAAAGACTGACTCTTATTTATTCACTAAATGTTTATTGACCTGTAATGTGCTGGAAGCCCTACCTCATGGCTTCTAGAATCGAAAAACTGCCACGGAAACCAACTAGTTTATATGTAGTAAGTGATGGATGCTATTACCCTCCTGCAAGATGAAAAACCCAAGTGGAAGCACTCTCTTTAAAGCCTTTGCTTTAATTGTTGTAATTTGTTTAATATAGAAAGGCATGGACAGAGCTTTCCACCATTCCTAGTACTGGATGTTCTCAGCTTCCCATTAGAAGTTCTTCACTCCAGTAACAAAAGTATTCGTATGATTTTAAAAGAGAAACAGGAGGGTTGGTGGAAGCCATTGAGGCCTTCCCCATGACACCTCCTTAGCTGTTCTGTCTGAGCCACGAGGGCATTTTCATTCCTGTTGCTTTAGTCCGGTGGTTTGCAAGGTGTGGTCTTTTGATTAGCAACATTAGTGTCATCTCAGAACTTACTGGAAATGCAGATTCTTAGACTCCACCACAGACTGCTGGAGTATTCAGAAGAAAGCAAAGAGTTGGTATCTGTAGTTTCCTTTGCAGTACATCCAAAGTATGAATAGAACAGGCCGAGAGGGAGGGTTAAATAGTACAATAAAATGTGCAGGAAAAGGCCTATTAGGTCTGTTGAATCCCTAAGTGGAGGGGTTAGTCTATATTATTTGAATTTGTTAGGGCTTGGTGAGAACAGCCCCTGTCCTCTGTAAACAAGTTTTTGCTTGCTCAAACCAGGTGGGCTATTTTGAGAGAGGAGATAGTATCAGGGTTCCTGTTTACAAGTGACAAGTCTAACTCCTTTGAGCAAGGAGGGATTAAAGGAACAAACTATGCCAGGGATTGTTCACTGGCAATCTTTCATCTTTGTTCTTGATTTTACTGTCCCTCCTAGTGACATCCCGCATTTCATTACTAGTACCCCTTGACTACATCCTGCAGCTTCTTCCTCTAGAGGGAGACTTCTCCCTCTGCTTCAGGAAATCCTAGAGAATCTCCTCCTTATCTTAGCAGAGCACAGGACCCAGTACCCTTGTGAAGACGAGAACATGGTTACCAGGATAAAGAACTGCTAGGCAGATAGTATATGGGAATTTGTGGAATTTACACCTCTCCCTCATCTCCTGCCTTCACTCTCTAGGTTTAGTGAAGAGTCCTCGTCAGTTTACTCGCTTGGCCTTTAGCAGAGTCACTTGAGGTCCCCTGGTTCCTCTCTCTGTTTTATTTCCCTGATAGTTAGCAAACTTGGCCACAATTATGCTGCATACAAACCACATCTTGGTTTGCAACAAGCTTCTCGTCTCGTGAAACAAATCAAACAAATTCATCTGATCTAGATAGGCTTCAGCTGTATGCCTGGGCTGCAGGGCCAAGGCTGTGAGTTGGGGTTAGGCTTGTTTCCCATGTGTCCATCCTAGGCCCCGGGCCATAGGAGCAGACTGTGGTGCATATGACAGGACCTCTTAGAGGGTCACCAGAACACAAGAGCCAAACAAGAAGCATAACCACATTTAAAGCCTCTGGTCTCCAGCATTCCACTGTGCAGAGCTTCACATTACTGATCTCCACATCAGTGGGCTGAAGATGTATTCTTTGCCTAAAATGAAGGGATGAAGCAGCACACACTCTTGGAAATGCAGACCTTGAATTCCTTGGGTTTATTGAGGAACTTTCCAGTGTTGCTCTCCTGAGCATAGTTGAGTCCAGAGCATTTGAAACCAGTTAGTGCCTTATGAGCTCTTTTATAGACTACATGTTGTTTTCCCATAACCTTTGATAACATCTGTGACTATAGTCTATATTCTTGAGTCACACTGAGGTGGTCCCTCATTTTATGCAGGGAATTTGCCAAGTTTATTGCTGAGAACACTCCTACGAGGTAAGTGGGGCAGGGACATTTTAGTTTTACCAATGGAAGCTTGGTGGTTGGGTGACTTGTTGAAAGTCACTAAGTGGATATGGAGCCAGGTCTAAAACCCAGGTCCCATCATTCAAAAACAGCTTGTGTCTGACCCTCACTTGGCCACATTTCAGCCACGTGAGCAGGGTGTTTCCCTTCCCAAGCCTAAAAGTCTAGTCTCTGATATGGAAGCCGAAGAATGCGAATAGAGCTGCTGCCAGCAGTTCCTGGAGAAGTAAACGGGATCGTGCAGTGAAACACGGCCTCGTGCCTCCTGCATAGATGGGCGCTTATGACGGCCACTGACCCCTGGCTGCACTGTGCATGGCAAGCTCCACGGATAGCTGGAAGTGTATTTGGGTGTGACAAGACGTGGGTCCTAGATGGCTGAGGCCTAAAGCTTTGCTGCGTATAAGAGCTGACATCATCTCTTTTTAATGTTTTAGCCAGCATACCAAAACCTGAGGCAGAAAGTGGATAATTTTGTGTCAACACATCTGGACAAACAGGAATGGAATCCTACAATGAACAAGAACCAACTGCGAAACGGTCTGCGGCAGAGTGTGGTTCAGTAAGTAAGCAGGCTTAGAGCTTTTGAGAAAGCAGTGGTCACAGGGACATGCCCACGCAGGCTGCTGGGAGTCACTATCTAGTCACAGGAGTGATACTTTATATCCAGTGCGGTAGTCTGCTCCTTTGTTATACTCCAGGGTGAAGAAAAGCTCCTGCAATTCCTGCTGGTTTGCGGAGGCTTAGAAGGCCTCCCTCAGGTCTCCTGGGCACGCTGAAGTTTCTTCCAGATTGTGCGACTTGTTCTCTGTTCTTTAGCGTTTTCAGTGTAGTCTAAACGTGAGTTTTCTACCAAGATAAATGGAGTTTGGGTCTTGGACAAGAGCAGCTTAGTCTTTATTTTCACAAGCAAATGTGAGTTCTGTAAATTCTGTGAATGCATCTTGGCCTTCTTTAACGCTTAGGGGCAGCTTGCAGAGGATGTGGTCTTTCAAGGTATTGTCCTTCGCAGTAATAAACCAAGTGTTTACTTGTAAAGGTGCTCCAGAGAGCTCATCCAAGTGCCTTCAGAGTTACAGGGCACAGGTAGAAATGGGATGTGGAATCTGGTGTCCTGAGGTGAGCTTTATTTGATCTCAGATTTTTTAAAACTCTCCTGAATATGTGAAAGCCTGTGTCTTTCAAAATATCAGGGAGTTATAATCAGTACGAAAAAGCCAATCTCTGAAGAATACCTGATGCATGATTCCCTTTACATTCATGAGCTAACAGATGGAGAGCAAATTTGTGGTCCCCTGGGGTTAGGGATGGCGGGAAGAGGGGATGATATTTATGGTAGCGCAGGGGGCCCCTGTGGCGGTGTAGGTCGTAGTGACAGTGCTTATCTGAAGCTGTTCACCTGAGACTGTGCTGCCGTGCTTTGGGTATAGTTATGCTGGGGAAGTGTGGCTGCAGCGGCACGGCAGTGTTGGGAACCAGTTGAAGGGATGAGGTTGTGGGGCCTCAAGAATGGGTTTCATGCCCCAAGTGTTTGAATACAAATATTGTTAGATTTTGATTACATTTTGCTCTGCTTGGAAAGCACTTTCGGGGTGTATTTTAGCCCCACTAGCTTAGAAACATTGCTTCTGGGTTGCCTATTACGTGTTATAAGTAGTGGTCATCACTGGAAGCCGCTGAGTTTCTGGTGATGAAAGTGCTTCACCCCGACTGGTTTGTGTTGTGTGTGGTTTGAGGATAGCGACAAGCTTGCTGCCAAATGTCATTTCTGCTTTGCGTAGTAAGAGAATAATCGTTGGGGGGATAGAGTCAAATCCAAGGTGATTGGCTTTGACCGGATGATTAAGGTCTTCACCTGCGCATGTTGTCAGTTTCCTGCTATGTTGTCACTTGTTTTGTTTTGGGGCGATCTGCCTAGGTTTATGTGGTTCCTTTGCACAAAGTTGAAGTAGTAGTGGGTGAGACTGAGTTAGGAATAGTGGGTAGCTGCTAGTTGTGAATTTCCCCTCAAAAGAGAGATTACAGTGACCTGAACTCCCTGGGGTACGTAGATCACCTTTAAAGAACTCCCTAGAAGGGCACGAGTAGTTAGTTCTCTCTGGCCTCTCTCCTGACACGTGGGGCTTATTGGGGCTGCAGATGACTCTCAAAGGAACTAAAAACAGTGATCTGTCTTGTCTCCCCAAGGTCAGGGATGCTGGAAGCAGGAGTGGACAGGATTATATCGCAGGTGGTGGATCCAAAACTGAACCACATCTTCAGGCCACAGATAGAACGAGCAATTCATGAGTTCCTGGCAGCCAAGAAGAAGGAAGCGATGAGGGAAGCACCGGCACCCCCGCCCGAGCCTGAAAGCCAGGACCCTGCGGCTCTGTCCCAAGACACTTCCTAAGGTCTGTGGTCCCATTTTTGTCTGGGAACATCTGTGTCTTATAGATACATACGATGAAAGGAAAGAGGTGAGCTGTAATAGGGGATCGTAGTTCTTACCTATTCAGAGATGTGTTTACAGCAGATGGGCTTCCCCTCCTGTAGGACCTGTGTTTCTCTGAGAACTAAGTAGTATTTTCCTACATCGCTGAGTATAATACTCTGTGCGACTAGAGCTGAGCATTTAAGATACGTGTAGATGCTTCACTAGAATCCAGCTGGGATAATTGGCATGTGCCAGGGAAATGCACATGGAAGTCTTCCTTTTCTAAAATTGCTCAAATGAGTCTCTTCCCTGGACATGAGTTAACTTGAATTTGCAATTTTAATATAAAATCAAGCAGTGCGTTCTAAAGTGGTGTACCAAACGGGATTCGTGGTCTGCTTTGAGCTCTGATACATTTCCATGTTTAGTAAGGTTTCTGGTTTACCATTCTGTTCCCATGAGATTCTTCTGTTCTCCCTTTTTTATTAAATTAGGAATTAAATTTTTAAAAATCAGCACTAGATGCACAAATGAGTGCTACTTTCAGGTTTGAGAAGACGGTAAATAGGAGCTTGGACTTTCTTACCCAGTCATTGTTGACAATCCTTGGGGTGAGTCCTAGCCGCTTGTTCAGCTCTTGGTGTTCTCTTAAGATTCTTTGAGATGTCTGTCATTTCTCATAAAGCAGCTAAGTGATGTGAAATGACGGGGGCCTTCAGTGAAGGATGCAAAAGCAGCAAGCTTATGTGGGCACTCACTTAAGTGTGGGATTGTCTTTCACTTGGGGGATGGACCTTGAGTCCATTATGGAGTATAAAATATTCATTTTTAAGTCTTTCTAGTATGACTGTAAATTCCTTTAGGAACATAAAATTGAGTATTGTCTTAAAAAGTGACATTTTGGTATGATTGTCTTTTCTTTTTAGAATAGACCCGACACCGTTTGAAAGCTCTGTTTAATGATGAAGAAATGGATTCCTGTTACTCAAGAGTACCACTGTGGTTGGCCGGGGTCAGCACTGCCTTCAAGATTGCTACTTTGGCCTTGGCACAGTGTCCAGATTGAACAGGGAGCAAGAACGGCCGTGAGAAAAGTTGTTCGTGTGTCCCTGCTCCATGCCGCAATTTGACCAGCCTGTCCAGTGGTGTGACACCTAGTAAACACTACAGAATTATAAACACTACAGCAACTTAGCACGATCCTTAAGCAAACTTTTATACTTGAACGTGGACACTGCACATGGGTTTTAGTATATGTGCTGCCGAAGCGAGCACTGCACCTGGGTTTTAGAGTTTGCACTCTGGGGTAACAGAAGCTATCATGAAAGAACATAGTGAGTCCCAAAGATAACTTCAGAGGATGAGGAGAGTTCACTTAGCTGGGAGTAGGTATATGGCAGTGCTTACGTGGTGCTGTATCTCGGAGTCACAAACTAGAATGTACAAGCAGATGACTTTGATAGCCTTAAAACTGTGACCTTCTTGTACATGAATCCTAGTCAGTTTCTTTTCCATTGTCAGAGGTGACAAAACAAGCAGCCGTGGATTGAGAAGGAAGTCAGATATTAGGTACAGCCACTGTTAAGCTCTTTGTCCAGGCATCTTTCCATCCTGCAAGAGCTACAGAGACTCAGAAATTTTCTCTTCTCACGGTTGCATTTTTTAGAGAAATGATCAACAAATCAGTAAATGGTGTTTTGTAATAAAATTGTTTGATACTTCTGCTTTGCAGCTTCAGCTGAATATTAGATCCCGTGTGTGTGTGTGTGTGTGTGTGTGTGTGTGTGTGACAGAGAGAGAGAGAGAGATGACTGGTAGCAGAGGTTTGGTGGCTGTGACAACTTCTGAAGCTAGTAGATAGGCACAGGTGGTGTCCTTCCTCCTTGAACCACTACCAGTGCTGGTCACTTGAGGGCAGCACATCCTGCCAGGGTTTCTCAGCCTGGGGTGTGCACAAGTATCCCCAAGGATCTTGGGAAGTACATGTTCTAGTTTGGAAGTTCTGAGGTGAGACCTGCACATCTGTGTCTTCAGCAAGCTGATGAGTTATGTTATGTCCCTGGGCCTTGAGACACCTTTGTACAGCAAACCTTCAGTGATGTCAGAGACTAGTCCAGACCAAGAATCCTGAGTTTTCAGCCGAGCCTACTCCTGGGTATTGCTAATCTGATTTTTTTGTTGATGTTACTAGGAATTGAACACACTAGTTTCCCAGGGCCGTGTACATGCTAATAAGTACGTGCATTACAATGAGCTAGTAAGTTCCATGCCCGGCCCTAATCTTACATTTGAACCATTTCATGTGGTTCCATGTTAAAATGAATGTTCCACTTGTTATTTAACCTTAAATCCCCTGAATTAGGACTACTGCCAAGAATGTAGCAAGGTCTTTTTGTACGTAGGATATCATTGGAAACTGGCCTCAGTTCAGGTAGCAGTTCCATCTGAAGGATGGTCTGTTTCCTGCCCCATAGTGGACACAATTCTGTCTCCAGCTGAGGCAGGTTGCTGGCCTTTTCAGTTACAGGATCCAACATCTAGCATCCTCAGTCTTAAGGAAGGGACCCTCCAGTCCACCTCACACTGCTGCTAATAAACACTGCTAAGTCTGCCAGCCCTATGTTTTGCAAAGAAACTTCTCAGACTGATCAAGTGCCTTTTTCTCCCAGACCATAGACCTTTAGTTGGATTCTCTTTCCCCTGGGGCATCTTTCCAAGAGGGAGACCTATGTATACAACTTCCCAGTGACCCTGCCAGCATCTTGTCTATCCAGCAGTGATCCAGTTCAACCAGAAAGAGGGCCGACTCCCATTAGCTCAGAGAAAGTGTTACTGCTGCCCACAAATGTTCAACTGGCTATATTTGTATATTTTTTTTAACAGTTTTAAGCCTGTCTCAGTTCTTTGACTTTTTTCCCGTTATGAAAGAAAGCTGGATCTACTGATAAGAAGCACCATAATTTTCATAGACTTAAATATGCTCAGATACCAGTTAGTTTATCCTCATGTTGTAAACCACAAGGAATCACCTAGGCAAAAGATTTTATTTGAAAAACTGAGACGTTATCAGCGTAGAAAGGTAAAGTGCGGACATACCACTGCTATTGATGAAAGACCAACTTTTTGGCTTTTGGCCGAGTCAAAGGAGGAAAATGCTTGTGTTTCCCTGGCCATATGGATTCATATTGGCAGGAGCTGGAGGGTTAGTCAAACCCAAGAGTGCTAAAAGGATGGGGACAAGGAAGCCAGCCAGTCTCTAGCTTCTCACCAGCAGATTGCTAGGCAAATGTATTTGCACACTCAGTTGAGCCTTGTACTTTGGGTATTGTGTTAGAAAATGTGTGTATATTCTGAAATAAAATAGAAATGTTCCTCCCTAAGGAGGAACCCCTTAAATACCCTAACTGTTCGTTCCTAAGCAAGAAATGAATTGTCAGTGACTTCAAGCCGATTAAGTTTCCCTCCCTGTGGTTGGAAACCCCACTACCTTCTGCAGCCCAGGGGAGCACAGAGCAGGTGCAGAACAGACAGCCACTCTGGAAAGCCATCCAAGCCTTAGAGCTAAGTCATGGGAACTGCACCCTCACTGAAGATGGGAATTGGTAGGAGGGGAGGGAGAGTACACTGGCCCATTTTGAAAGCCCAGTTGTTTTGCCTGGATCAGCTTTTGCAGATGCTACTGGAGACCATTGTTCCTGGCCTGTTTCTAGTTTCCAGGTTAATGCTTCACCAGCATTGCCAACCCACCGCTTCAACCTAGAACCAGTTGTTTGATTTCTGGATTTTTGGTGAGATTATTAGCTTTCAGGAGTGATGTTAGCCTTATGTTTGTCATTTTGCTCGATCTTCTGTTTACTAGTCAGGGTGAGGGTTCATATGTATTCCATATCCTGGCACTATGAACTGGATACACAGGTTTATTACTGGCTTACTTTTCTCTGATTGCTGAGACAAAATACCTAACCAGTTCATAGCAGGCCGAAGACAGCAAGCAACTCAGCAGTAACTTTTATATTCTATTTAGGCTACCTGGTGGTGCCAAACCAATCAATGGACTAATTTAGTAATCACACAGCCTTAATTCCAGTATCACACACAGTAGATCCGTCCACCCCTGACAAAGCCCCACCTGTGACTGCATAAGGCTTTGAGGGGACATCTGAACACAAACCCTAACAATCACCGTGTGGTCCGTACAAACTCTCCAACCAAACAGGATCAGCAGCATCCTGAAACTAGTTAGAAATACGCTGTCCTCCTGATTTCAGAAAAGGGTGAGGCCCCCTAAGCCTGGATGACTTTCATGTGCACTGAAAGTTATTTTCATTTTAGGAAACCTGTTTCAGCATTAGTAGTCTTGACTGGGAAGAATGGATTAATTATATTTGGTAGGTGATATATTCTAATGAAGGTAAGAGTTTTTTGGGTTTTTTTTGTTTTTGTTTTTTTTTTTTTTTTTTTCAGTTCTCTGTCTCTTTTGAGGACTGCTGTATGTATTTGGACATTTTGACTTGGCCATGCTGCAGAAAGCTTAACCTTCCTAAAGTTTCAAAAGCTGTAAACAGTCTTCTAAAGATGACTTTGCTAAAGTGGCTCAGAGCATTGCCTGGAACTCTGCAGAAGACTTTCATCAGCTGTTAAAGACCTGGGAGAGAAATAGGTGGGCAGCCAGCAAAGGCCGAAATCTGACATAGGTCTGACACTGATGCTACAGTTAGGGTTTGAAAATTGTGTTTAGGTGAGCAGGGCCCAGCCTGCCTCCTCAGCTGACCTAAGGGTGCTGAGGACACAGGAGGAAAGCAGACAGGAGAGCTGGCATGGCTAAGCTTTCATTGGCACAGACACTGTACCCGTCCATCACCTCATCGGAGGAGGAGCTGGGAGGTCAACTTTTATGGTCTTGTCACCAGGGTTGGGCTGGGCTCCAAGGCTACAGGATAGTAAACACTGCTCTCCTCAAACTGGTCACACCACCTGAGACTCCATCAGTCTTGCTGACTCCAGGCTCCACACTGCCATTTGGCCACCCTTCCTGAAACAGCGCTCTCATCAAATATCTTCTTGCTCAGGAACCTTCCACTCGGGCTAGGGGCCCAGAAACCCCTCCAGGTGACTTTAATGCACACTAAAAATCATTTCATTTTGGGAATCCTTTTAAAAATCCATTTTAAATCCTTTCCAAGTGCAGCCATTTTCTTATGTATAAGTTCATTTAATTTTCATGACCCTGTCAGGATTTAATCTCTCTTTTATGTATGAAGAAATCAAAACAGGCAAAGCAACTCTGAACAACTACTGGGTAAAGAGGCAAGGATTTCACCCCTCCGCCCACCTCCCTTGCCACACTACCTCCCTATTGGCTGCGTTCAGACTTGAACAGGTCCTCTGGGGTCCACCCTTCATTCCAAACCTAGGCCAGCGTCTCCTATGTCTCAGCGCACAGCCTTGGCTCTAGCTGGCCCCAGTACCCTCAGTCAGATGTGTATCACAGGGCTGTTTACAAGACAGCAAGACCGGTCTGCTCTGCCTCGTAGTCATGTTTCATTAACCATGGAGTTACTGTGTTTTGTTTTCAATTACCAGTATTTTAAAATGGAGATTTTAAAAGGAGATTTCCATATAGGTCTGTATCCCTGGCTTCTAGAGAAAAGCATCAAGATCAGGCCATTGTTGCCTCCTTGTGTTTCCACCAGATAACAATTGGGGAGAGCTAAGGAGCAGCCTCGGAGGACTCTGCCAACACACGAGAGATGCAAATTCCACTGGCTGACTTCACCAACTCCAGCATCCCACGGGCACCTGTGGGCATGAGTCAGGGACCCTTGCCTGACAGTGGCATCCCACTTAAGATCATTCAAAAACATCTCTAGCCACAGGGCCAGATTTTATCGACTTTTGATTTCCATTCTCAGGATAAAGACTAGATTTTCAGCTCCATGAATTTGATCCTAGAATCTTTTTTTTTTTTTTTTTTTTTTTTTTTTTTTTTTTTTTTAAATTTTTATTTAAGGAGAAAAGAAAAGAAAAAAAAAACAGTGAAGGGTACAAGTTATACAGATTTACAGAAGAAAAAAATGCGCAGTAGGAAATCACTAGTTAATAGATTACATATTGCCATCTTAGAAATAATTGTTCAAGTCACAGAATTAAAGTTTGTAGAGTGGACATTCCAGCAATGATACTGCAAACAGTTCTGTTCAATGATCCATTAGAACTCTGTGATATCATTTTCTGTCTTATACATTTAAATATACATGCAGTTATATAGTTTAGAGCATTTTCTTTTCCTCTCTTTTGTACAGTGACTATTACACATTTTGGGTTTCATTGCTCCCACTGTTCTTATTGCTTTTTTGGAAGAGAGTAAAACCAAATGTGACATAACAGAACAGAATCGGTCAAGTCAAAAGGGTGGATATAATAGATAATATAAAAACATAATACAAGGTGATCAACAATGGTTACCCTAATGCCTCCCGCTATTTCTAATAGAATTGCCTATATTATTAGTTGTAATACTATTGAACAAAACCGTAAAGGATAAAACCGACAAAACCAAAACATTGGAGATATTGTAGGTCTTCAAAAGTAGATAGAAGTCAACGAGAATGGGCGTTATAATGAATCTCATTATCTTCTCAGCTGATGCCTAAACTTTCGAACCTGATACTATTCAGCAAAACAGAATAGAGGAACCTCAGTCAAAAACAAGATGGTGAGAGTAA